GTTGCATAGGTACACACATGGCAATGCGGTTTCCTGCCTCCATTCCCCCATCACCTACATCTGGCATTTCTCCCCGTGTTATCCCTCCCCGACCTCCCCACGCCCCCACTGTCCCTCCCTTGGACCCCCCACAGACCCCAGTGTGTGATGCTCCTCTTCCTGTGTCCCTGTGTTCCCATTGTTTAACACCCATCTATGAGTAAGAACATGTGATGTTTGATTTTCTGTTCTTGTGTCAGTTTGCTGAGAATGATGGTTTCTAGATTTATCCACGTCCCTTGTAGGGTACTTCTAGTGGTCATATGTTTTCTTGGTTTTGTTTGTTTGAAAATGTCTCATTTCTTTCTCATTTTATATATATTTCTTTCTCCAATTATATTCATTAATGTTTTATAGTTTTGAGTATACAAATATTTCACAGCCTTGGTAAAATTTATTCCTAAATATTTTATTTTTATTTGAATGTAAATGGAATTGAATTTTTTTTTTTTTTTTTGAGACTGAGTTTCACTCTTGTTGCCCAGGCTGGAGTGCAATGGTGCAATCTTGGCTTACTGCAACCTCTGCCTGCCTGGTTCAAGTGATTCTCCTACCTCAGCCTCTCAAGTAGCTGGGATTATAGGCATGCACCACTACACCCAGCTAATTTTGCATTTTTAGTAGAGATGGGGTTTCTCCTTGTTGATTAGGCTGGTCTTGAACTCTGGACCTCAGGTGATTCACCAGCCTAGATCTTCCAAAGTGTTGGGATTACAGGTGTGAGCCACTGCACCCATCCTGGAATTCTATTCTTAATTTCTTTTTCATATTTTTCATCATCATTATATAAAAATGATACTGCCAGGTGCGGTGGCTCATGCCTGTAATCCGAGCACTTTGGGAGGCTGAGGCAGGCAGATCACGAGGTCAAGAAATAGAGACCATCTTGGCCAATATGGTTAAACCCCTGTCTCCACTAAAAATACAAAATTAGCCAGGCGCGGTGGCAGCTACTCTGGAGGCAGAGGCAGGAGAATTGCTTGAAACCAGGAGGTGGAGTTTGCAGTGAGTTGAGATCGTGCCACTGAACTCCAGCCTTATGATGGTGTGAGACTTCTTCCCAAAAAAAGAAAAAAATGCTGCAGATTTTGCATATTGATTTTGTATCCTGTAAATTTACTGAATCTGTTTATTATTTCTACCAGTTTTTTGATGGAGTCTTTAGAATTTTCTGTATATATAATTGTGTCATCAGCACACAAGGAAAAGTTAACTTTGTTCTTTCCAATTTTGATGACTTATTCATTTATTTTGCCTTACTGCTCTGGCTTGTAGTTCAAGTACTATTGTAAATAGAAGTGGTGATTAGACTTCCTTGTCCTGTTCTTGATTTTAAGAAAAAATCGACTTTTCATTATTGTGTATGATGTTAGCTATGTGTTGTAGCATATGGCCTTTATTGTGTTGTTACATTTATTTTATACCTAATTTGTTGAGAAGTTTTATCATGAAAAGATGTAAAATTTGGTCACAATTCTGTACATGACAGCTAAGTTCATTTGGTCTACAATAGAGTACAAGTACAGTGGCTCCTTTTTCATTTTGTGTTTCAATAATTTACCTGTTGTTACAAGTGTGATACTTAATTCCCTTACAATTATTGTATTGCAGTCTCTGTCTCCCTTAAGATCTACTAATATTTGCTTTACATATGTATGTGCTGTGAAATTGGGTGTATCTATATTTACAGTTGTTATATCAATTTGATTAATTGACTTTTAATTTATATTGGCCTTTTAAAATTTCTTTTTGTTTTTCTTTTTTTCTTTTTTGAGATGGAGTGTCACTCTGTTACCCAGGTTGGAGTGCAGTGGTGTGATCTCGGCTCACTGAAGCCTTCTCCTCCCAGGTTCAAGCAATTCTCCTGGCTTAGCCTCCTGAGTAGCTAGGATTACAGGCACCCACCACTACACCCAGCTATTTTTTTTTGTATTTTTAGTAAAGATGGGGTTTCATCATGTTGGCCAGGCTGGTCTTGAACTCCAACCTCGTGAACCACTTCCCTCGGCCTCCCAAAGTGCTGGGGTTACAGGAGTGAGCCACCACACCCAGCCCTCCTTTCAAAACTTTTACAGTCTTTTACTTAATGCCTATTTTGTCTGATATAAGTAGCTATCACTGCTCTCTTTGGTTTCAGTGTCCATGGAATAAACTTTTCATCACTTAACTTTAAGTCTATGGGTGTTCTTAAAGTCAAACTAACCTCGTTTATGCAACATATAGGTAGGTGTTTTATTGTTTAATCCATTCAGGCTTGCTGTATGTCTTTTGATGGGAAAATTTATTTATATTCAAGGTAATTATTGATAGTAAGAACTTACTGCTGCCATTCTATTGTTTTCTGGTTGTTTGTGGATCCTTTTTTTCCTGTTTCCTCTCTTACTGTCTTCCTTTGTGATTTGATGGTTTTCTGTAATATTAGGCTTGAATTCTTTTATCTTTTACTTTTGTATGTCTAATATACATTTTTGCTGTGTAGTTATCTACCAGACCTTGATATTGGGACTTGAGTGATCCTTGTTGGCAAGACCTGTGGGAGATCTTCAGTGTCTGTGAGGGGTGTCGGTAAACTCATCTGTGTCTCTCTGTCCAGTAACTAGGCTCTAGAGCTGGCAATCTTGAAGGCTGTAGCCAGTGATGTGTACATGTTTTACTGCAGAAGTTAGCTGTAATCATAAATGTTCCAGCACAGGCCACCGAGTCATGAGGGCTGTGTTCAGAGGTATGTGCTGAGGCTGAGTATGCGTGCACATGTGGCAGTGCTTGCTGTTGGCTTGCACATGAGTGATTGCATAGGCCATCTGAAGTTCAGCAATAAGATGAAGTCATCTGTGCGTGCATGGGGAGCTTCAGGAATAAGCTGGAAGTGTGCACACGTGTGCAGCTGCAGGAGCCAGCTGTGTGTGTAGTCAGTATGTTGGAGGGAGGAGACAAGAGGCATGACAAGATGCTTATTCAAGCTCAACCATGGGGCTGGACTGGCAGTATACAACAGCCCAGCTTCAGTGACCAGCCTTGGGTGTGCAAGATGGTGGGGCTACAGCCTTCAGCAGGAGACCTGGGACTGTTTTTGGGCACAAGCACAGTAGCTGCACTGGGTCTCTGGGACAAAGCACCTGCAGAGGCAGCAACTGGGGTGACTCCATAAAGTAAGAGTCATGGTTTAGTCACCTGGAAAATGCCAACGGATACTGTAGTGAGTCACCTAGTTGGGCTAACCATGGCGGGAGCAGCTCAAGTGGTTCTAGGGAGGGGATTGGAGGGAAGATAAAAAGAGAGAGAGAGATCATCATTTGGTCAGATATCTGGTGACTGTCAATGTTGTTTGATGGGTCCCTGGGCCAGCATGACTGCAGCAGCAGCAGTTTTGACTCTGGGTGACTCCAAAAATAGGGAGTGTCTGAGGCACATGGAGATTGTGAAGAAAAACACTGCAGGGTCTTTGGTGGCAAAAACTACAGAGGGTTTCCTGCTCTTTTGTTGGCAGTTGTTTTCCTCACTGGTGAAAGCTGCTAAGCTCCTCTTTAGAGCAAGCCAATGGTGTTAGTGATCAAGAACATGGAGTGGTTCCATGCAATGATTGCTGCAGGGGCTGCACAGCCACCAGGAAGGGTTGTTACAGTCCTCAATGGAGATGTCTGCTAGAATCCTGTGCTGAACAGACCACTAGGGTTCACTCTGAGACTATTCACATGGTTGATACTGATTGAGCCTGCCCCACTTCTTTTTCCTTGCCATCTCCAGATGCCTCACCATACCAGTTCCCCCACTTATCTGGGTTGAGTGAAACCAAAGCTGGTCATTTGGGCAACATTCCAAAAGCCCGAAGAAGCTGGTTTTATATCCTCCTCTTATTTTCCGTGCAAGGGGGGCAGACAAGCCAGAGACTTCCCACTCAATGCTGACAACTGCTAGGTTAAGGAATGGGTTAATGCAGGTGAAATGAAATGATTCTTTTTATACTTTTTGTGTGGTCCCTCTCCGTTTTTTTTTTTCACTGTATTTCTGAGGCTCTTAAGTGGGCTCCTAAGCTCTTTCATTTAGTTTTATTCACAACAAATTGTTGGCTCTTTGTGGGAACAGGAAGTCTTGATCTCAGACTCCACTATATGCTGATGTCATTATTTTCATAATTAAATTTCAATTACAAAAAATATTTAAGAACTTTTTTTGAACATAAACTCTGGTATGCCATCTACAATGAAAATAATATTTAGTCTTTGTCTTTAAGAGGCTTCTGTAAAATGGCATAAAACTAAAGTAAAATGGATTAAATAAGTATATTATTTTCATACAATGGAATATTTATACCACAGTCAGAACTGAATAAAGTAGTTTGAGCTGTTAGAATGAAAGGGAGAAAGGAATGGAGCAGAAGCGGCTCAATGCAACACAGATTTATTGGGAGAAAGACCTGCGAAGAGGGGGTACCAGCTAGCGCCAGGGTCCCCTTCCCGCTTACAGGCTGGGGCAGTTATAGGTCTGGGCAAGAGATGTGTGGGATTTTTGTGCAACTGGGGTGGGGGCGATGTGTTTGGCTGCCGATAACGAAGAAATTTAGTGCAGCCAGAAGTCAGGCCTGGGACCTGACAGATGTTTCTCACGGCTCAGGCCCTGGTGGAATTTTCCACTCTGACCAGAGTTTGTAAAATGGTGGGGGTCTGCAAAATGGTGCAGCTTAGGCTAACATTCCTATTTCTTACTTTAGTATCAAAAGGAAGAAGGGGCCGGGCGTGGTGGCCCATGCCTGTAATCCCAGTAATTTGGGAGGCCGAGGCGGGCGGATCACCTGAGGTCAGGAGTTTGAAACCAACCTGCCCAACATGGAGAAACCCCGTTTCTACTAAAAGTACAAAATTAGCCTGGCGTGCTGGCACGTGCCTGTAATCCCAGCCACCCGGGGGACTGACGCAGGAGAATCGCTAGAACCCGGGATGCAGAGGTTGCAGTGAGCCGAGATCGCGGCATTGCACACTCCAGCCTGGGCAACAAGAGCAAAACTGTCTTACAAAAAAAAAGAAAAGGAAGAAGGGCGTCGTTGATCATCTGGCTGCTTCCTGCTGGATAGGGACGTTGTGATTAGTGCCCGGGTTCTGGAGCTTCAGAACGGCTTCCTCCTAGGCTCTGGTATTGGACTTGGCAAAGGAAAAGGATATTATCAATGTGTTTTTGCATGCTTGCCCAGATAAAATAACTCAGCCTTTGGGAAATGAAGCGGGATATAAGGTTAAATACACATGACCCAATCATTAGTAACAGGAGAAGGAAGATCAGGGGTCTTAGGAAGGTAGCAACCCAGGGTATCCATCTTAGAAGGGATGACTCTTGTCACCAGGAGTCACAGACTTGATGTCAGAGCTCTGCAGCCCTGTCACGAAGCCTGCAAACTGCATTGTGAACAATGCTGGATTCATTAATGCAGAAACAGCATTCTTCCTGGGGGTATATGCAGGTACCCCCTTTCTCAGCAGTTAGTAGGTCCAGGGCTCTCTGGTTTTGAAGGATGACTCCTGTGAGGAAGTCTTTGTTGTTGGAGGCTGGTAATGGAGGTGTGCATATCTTCTAGGGTGTTATAAAGAGTTGTGAATAGCCTTTGGTATGAGGTGATTGAGGTGGTTATGCCTGCTATTCCAGTGCCAAGTACAGCAGTGACGCTTAATCCTGTTAGCCGGGTGATGAGGTGTAAAGAACATTTACTTCTTATGGGTGTAGAGGAGATAGAGGCTTCTAAAGAAATTGGAATAGTTTGGTTAGGGGGTAGGATGTTGACGGCGGGAGCTTGAAAGACCAGGGTGCAAGTTCCTGACCAGTTGGCTGGTAGGCAAATATATCAGTTTGTACAACACAAAAGAAGAGACCGGGGTGGGCAGGCAGAAGTTGTAGGTGAAGGTAGCTAGCCATGAAAGGATGTTTTCATTCTCCCAAATTGAGTAACTGCCAGCCAGAGTGGCACCAGTAAGGACCTGATAGGGAGTGTTGTCTGGGAACTTGGTGAAGGCTGTTTGGTTTTGGAGAGAGAGAGAAAGAAATTGTCTTTGTCAACCATTAACCATTGCTGCACTGGCGTGGTGGCTGTAAGGTATCAGTCGCAGGTGAGGGAATTGTTACATTTTTTCCAGGGGGCACCTTTAAACCAGTGACATAGAGAACAGAGTTTGCATGGGGGGAGCTGGGAATCGGATGGTAGGAAAGAAGAGAGGATCGGAGGTGAGGTTCAGGGATGTTTGGATGGTAGGTGAGCCAGAATAGGATAACAGCTACTGCCAGGCAGAGGTGGACATGATTTTGTAATTAGGGTGTGGAATTGATGGTCTACAGAGGGTGTGAGGGTAAGAATAAGACCACATAGGGACTGGGGAACCTGTCCCGCCATTGTGGCATGGTTTGGGTTAGGGTAGGTTCAGCTGAGACATAAAAGGGGCGGGGATATGAAAAAAATTCGAGTAGAAATGGGACCCCCATATTGGTGGTTTAGATGATGTTGTGTTGGTTTGCGTGGATGTTAGTCCAGAATCTATTAGGGGAAGGAGGGCAACAGCCCTCCCGAAACTATGCTTAGAGAGCTGAGTTTGAAAGAAAGGTCTTTAGCTGTGTTTCCAGGTTATGGACCAGTTTCGGGCATGGATCAGCCAAGAATGGTATAGCCAAGTAAGAAATGTGTAAACTCATGTCGGACTGTGTCCACGTAAGTAGTTCGGCCGAAAGAAGCATGAATCAATGGTTGCATACAGAAAGACAAATCCAACAGTTGGAGGAGAGGGGGAGATTGCAACTGACTTAAGAGGTGGTGTGTGAGGTTGACGAAGGGGGCCCAGCTGTCAGTGATTGCGGGTGAGGACTCAGAATGTCCCATAAACAGAGAAGGCAAAAGGAGAAAAAGGAGATTTGTGTAGGTGTGAAATCTTGGAAGGTGCCTTGCAGCCATAGCTCCTCGATTAGCATGAGGAATTGAGATGGATTATCTAAGGGAGTGGGGAAGGGGTACCAGGAGAGATCTGAGATAAGGTATGAAGTAAAAGATTTAAGATTGGAAGTGGAGAGTGTCATGAGCCAGAGCCTTTCGGATGGGTGACTTCTGGAATTCTTGTTAGGCACAGCAAGGTTGGTCCTGTAGGAAAGGAAGAATATTTCCAGGGTGAGGAGACTTTGCGGTGTGGGTCAGGTGCCTTTTTACATTTGGAATTGTGTATATAATAGTAAAAATATGTTAACTTTGCAGCAGCAGGGATGGTTAATATAACCTGATAGGAACCCTTCCATTTTGTTGGAGAGGGGAAGCAGGTTCTGTTACCCAGACCCAGTCTTTTGACTGTAAGGGTAAAAAAGTGAGTTGGGAAGAGTCCTCAGGTTTGGAGAGGTGAATGTCAGCATACTGTACTGTTGGACTAAGTGTTGAGGGAGGTGCAGTGCTGGCCAAGTGTCCTGTAAGGGAGGGGATGGGGCAAAGTTCTGTAGGACGAAACGGCATCCATACATAAGTTCAAAAGGACTTGCATTTAGAGATTTTCCGGGGAAAACCCTGAGGCACATGAAGGCCAAGGGAGGAAGTGATATTCAGTTTTCATTTTGATCTCTAGGGAAAGTTTGGTTAACTGTTGTTTTAAGAGGGCATTCACCTGTTCAACTTTACCCTAGGATTGGGGGTGATAAAGAATATGAAAAGCCCATATGACGTTTAAAGCCTTAGAAACCTGCTAAGTGACTTGGGAGATAAACGCTGGTCAGTTGTCCAAATATATAGATGAGGGGTGGCCAAATCAAGTGATGATGTGTGTGAGGAAGGTAGAGACAACAGTGTGTGCCTTTTCGGTGGTAGTAAGAAAGGCTTCTATCCACCTGAAAAGGTATCTACCATCATGAGCAGATATCAGACTTTCTTTATGGTGGGGCGTATGAGTGAAGTCAATTTGCCAATCCTGTCCTGGCAACTGGCCTTTGGGCCTGATGGGAGGGAAAAGGAGGTAGTTTAAGAGCTCCTTGAGGGGAAGTCTGACTGCAGGCAGAGCAACCTTTAGTGAGCTGTCCAAGCTGACAGCAATAGTAAGGGAATGTACACAGGTTTTTAGAAATTGGAGCAGGGGCGATAACCCGCGTGGAATTGGTTATGGATGTGGGTGAGAACAGAAAGCTATTGCATCTTGGGTAGGATGAGTTTGTAGTCTAAGTAAAATTAGCCTTCCTTATGAACAGCCCTGGAGCCAGCAAGTGCACCTTTTTCTTCTTGGGTGTATGCTGGGGAAAATGGGCAATAACAATGGTGGTCTAAGGGCTGCCTGCTAGGCTGCCAAATCTGCTAAGTTTCCCTTGGTTATGACATCTGTAGCCTTTTGGTTTCTCTTGCAATGGATAATGGTGGCCTCTAGTGGTAGTTTAGCTGGCTCCAGCAGATTGTGTATGAGTTTGCCATTTATTATGGGGGCTCTTTTTGAAGTTAGAAAACTCCTTTCCTGCTACAGTACAGTGTGAAAATGTAGGATGTGGTATGCATATTTGGAATTGGCATAAATGTTAACCCTCTTTTGCTTTGCTACAGTGAGGGCCCTGGTTAGAGCAACTAGTTCCGCTTGTCGTGAGGTGATATGGGGTGAGAGAGCACTAGATTCCAGGAGTTTGTATTTTCTGGCAATGATGGCATAGCCAGCTGCCAGACATGGTTCCTTAAAGGAGCTTCCATCAATGAACCATGTGGGTTTCCCCTGCAAAGGGGCTTCTGAAAATGTGTTGGAAAGGGGAGAAGCGGGAGTCTAAAGAGGTCCAGGCAAGAGTGAGGGGATTCAGAATTGCAGTACTTGCAGGGAGGAGGGTGGCTGGGTTCAGAATTTTACATCTCTGGAAGGTGTTAAAGGGTTGCTGTAAGCAGAATGGTAGGAGGAAAAGAAGAGATCGATTGCTCATGAGGTCCCATAAGTTATGGGAAAATGCAATAGTAATGTGCTGGTAGAGACTGAGTTTTTGTGTCTCTGGGGCCAGCAATGTAGCTGCACCTAGAACTATCAAGCATGGAGGCCAGCCTTGGACGACAGAGTCCAGTTGTTTTGAGAAGTAAGCAATAGCTTGTGGAAAGTTGCCATGGGTTTGGCAAAGAAGTCCAAGGGCAAGGCCTTGATTAGAATGAACATGCAGGGTAAAGGGTTTACTGGGGTTGGGTAGTCCTAGTGCTGGGCCATTAAAAGGGCATTTTCCAGTTTTTGGAAGTTGGAGTTATGGGCAAGCTGGGTCCAAACGTTCTAGGGTGGACCCACATGATGCCATGCAGAGTGGTTTGGCTAATAGGCCATAATGATCCACAGCTGGAAGTACCCCACAAGGCCAAAAAAGAAAGGTCCTTCTTGGTGTAGGGAAGGGGCACATACCATATTAGTTCCTTCCATCAGGCTAGCATGGCTCAAGAATTAGGGGTTAAGGTGAGTTGAAAGTAAGTGACTTGGGTTTGAGCTACTTGAGCCTTTGCAGGTGAAACCTGATATCCATGGCCATGGAGGAAATTTAAAAGTTGGGTGATGTGTTGGATGGATAGATCAAAAGAGAGACTACAGAGAAGGAGGTCATTGATGTATTGAAGGAGGGTGCTGGAACAAGGAAAAGCTTGGTTAAATCCTTGGTGAGAGCCTGTCCAAGTAGGTGGAGGTTATGCTGGAACCCCTGTGGGAATGCAATCTGTTAGGTGGGTGAATGTGAGATCCAATACAGAGAAGTGTGTGGTAGATGGGGGGATGTGAGACAGTAGAATATAGGGGTTGGGGACCACTGGATAGGCTGGTACCTCTGCTTAGTTAATGACATGGAGATCCTGGACCAAGTGGTAAAATCTGTCTGTTTTTTTGACAGCCAGGATAAGAGTGTTTAGGGGAGAGTTAACAGACTTGAGAATCTGAGCTTGTAAAAGTTTACATGTAATAGGTTTGAGGCCCCTGAGGCCAGTTGGACTAAGGGGATATTGAAGCTGATAAAGGAAAATGGAGGGGTCTTGGAAGGTTATTTTCACTGGGATATGATGCGTGGCTATTGTGGTTTTAGAGATATTCCGCACTTTCGGATTGATAGAAGGTAACAGGGAGGATAGGGAAGATGAGGAAGAAGAGAGGGAAACATCTGGGCAGCAGAATAAAATAAAAAGGGTAGAATTGGGGGAGGCTAGTTCTATGGAGGCCTGGAATTTACTCAGTATGATCCACCCCAAGATAGTGGTAGGGCACTAAGGGATAACTAGGAAGGAGCGGATGAAGGGGGTATTGAATAAGTTGCATAACAGGGGACCAGTCTGTGCCTGGAGGGGATTCCACTGACTCTCATAATAGATACAAGAAATGAGGAGGGGTGAAGAATATTCTGGTAAAACTGAGTAACTAGTTCCCAGATCTAAAAGGAAGGACACAGGCTTACCAGAGACTGACAGCGTTACCCTGGGTTCCGAGGTGGTGATGGCGGTGGGGATGGCAGGCCCTGGGCCCCGTCAGTCTTCAGCAGCCAGGTTTAGAATACTTGACAGACTGGAACCTGGGTTGGAGGACCTGTTTGAGTTAGAGGTGGTCAAGTGGGGTGAAGAGTCTTGTTGAGCGCAATCCAACTTCCGGTGTCCATTGATACCACAGATGGGGCAAGGTTTTGAGGGTGGCCCGAGATTGGGGCAGGCCCTTGCCCAGTGACCCTGTTGGCTACACTTAAAATAGGCTCTTGATGAGGACTTCCATGAGGTTGAGTTGAGGATTTTTGTGTACATTGGGAAATCTTGTTGTATGACAGCGGCCCGCATCTGTTATTTAGTCTGATCTCTTTTAAGCTTTTAGGTTTTTAGCTCTTCCTCTCTATTGTTAAAGACCTTGATGGCTACTTTAAGTCTTCTTGGGAAGTTTGAGGGCCATCCTCCAGACTTTGGAGTTTCTTTTCAATGTCGGGGGCTGACTGGGAAAAAAAGTGTAAGTGGAGGTATACTCTGTCCTCGTCAGTGTCAGGACTCATGACCTCTGAAAGGCGGGAGAAAAAAAGAACAGGGTTTTTTGTCGGGGTTCATGAGTGATTTATTTATCTTTTCATACTTGATAGCCTTAAGGGTGGCTTTTTTATGCCAGCTAGGAGGCATGTTTTCACATGGCCTAGTTTCTGTCTGTCTGCAGAAGTTGCCTGATAATTCCAATTGGGGTCAGTTCTGGGAACAGCTAGGGTTCTGACTGGGTTATGGGCAGCTTCTTCTCAATGGAGGGTGTCTGCATGGGCCTTATCCAGACACGTTTCCTGTTCTCCAGAGTGAGGGAGGAGGAGAAGATGACATAAATGTCATGCCAGGTAAGATAATAAGATTGAGTGATATAGAGAAATTCCTTGTAGAAGGACGTGGGGTCTGTGGAAAAGGAGCCAAGTCTCTTTTCAAGCTGAGAGAGGTTAGCTACAGAGAAGGGAACATGAACTTGAACTATTGAAGACAGTCCTCATAACTTCCCCCCAGAGGACTTTAGAGGGCCTCTGGGCCTGTGCCTGGTTTTCAGCAGCAGAAGGGGGCTGGGCATGAGATCAGGTATGATGGGGAGAGGGAAGAGGAGATGGGGAACAAGGATAAGGGGATGGGGGAGTAAAAGGGGCAGGAGGAGGAGACGGTGGTGGGAGTGGGGCTGAGGGGTGGTGGGGATTCGTCTGCTGGATCAAAATCGGAGGAGGAGGGCTTGTCTGGAAGGGGAGGGATTTTGTCAGGTTTCTTATTTAAGAGGAGGATCCAGTAAGGTGAACAGGACTGACAGAGGGAATTGGCAAAATCCTGGATATAGGGCATCTTAGACCACTAGCCATTGTGCTGGAGGAAATTTTTGAAATCACGTTTAATTTGGAAGCCAAAAGTTCCATTCGGGCCAGAGGCCATCATTTTCCAGCTTATACTGGGTCCAGGCCACATTACAAAGGAAAATAAGGCATTTGGTTTTAATGGAGTCCACCAAGCCTGGTGCTTGGAGGTTCCAGATGAGATATCTGAAAGGGGTGTCTTGAGGGGATTCCAAGGAGCCCTGCCCCATATGAGTGGCTGGGAGGGTGAAAAATGTGGAGGAGGGGAGTGAGTATCCCCATTTCAACCATGAGAAGGGACGGAGAAGAGCTGGGGTGTCACTACAGCTCTTCGAAGTCCCCCAGAAACTGGAGTGACCAGAGCGTGGGCGTTCAGAGTGCATCCCCTGGAAGGCAAGCCAGGGTCACCCAGTGGTGACTGGGGAATCCTCTTAACTGGCGCTGGGGTTTTCTGACTAACAGGCAGAAATATGAGAGGAATCAGAGGGTGGAAAGGGGAACTCACCCACAGACTGGAAGCTGGTGTTGGATGCGAAGTCCAGCAGTGGGAGTGGTCCTTGCCAGAGCCACTGAGAGGAAAGAAAGAGGAAGGAGAAAGCGGTGGGAGGATGGGGCCGAGAGAAAGGATTCCACCGTAGAAAGAGGAAACTGGACAGGGCTGGGAAAGGGAGGCCAACCAGGATTCGGGAATTAGCCAGGGGTGAGCTGCCGCTGCCTCTTCCTTCCCAGGTTGCAAGAAAGTACCACTCTGTTGTAGAATCCAGACCCCATCCCAGGTTTTGACACCAAATGTACGAAAGGGAGAAAGGAATTGAGCAGAGGCGGCTCAAGGACAACACAGTGTATTAGGAGAAAGGCCTGCAGATAGGGGGTACCAGCTAGCGTCAGAGCCCCAGTCCCGCTTACAGGCTGGGGCACTTCTAGTCCTGGGCAGGAGAGGTCGGGGATTGTTGCGAAAATGGGGTGGGGGCGGTGTGTTTGGCTGCTGATAAAGGAAGAAATTTACTGCGGTCAGGGGTTAAGCCTGGAGCCTGTCTGACAGGATGAATTTATTGCTGTCAGGGGTTAGGCCTGGGACCTTTCCAACAGGATGTTTCTCACAGCCCAGGCCCTGGTGGAATTTTCCACTCTGACCAGAGTTTGTAAAATGGTGGGGGGTCTGCAAAATGGTGTGGCTTGGGCTAACACTGCCAACTTGCATCACTTTCACAGACAAAATATTGGGCAGAGCACCCCAGGATAATACACAAAATGAAATTGTTTTGGTAAATACTGAAAACATGCAAAAGCACTCAAACGTTATTTATATATACTAAAATATGTACTAGGATAATAATAACATACACAGAAAGATAAACACAAGAAAGAGGGAAATAGGATCACATTATATCACAAAAATATTTTATTTGTAATGAATTATTTGTTTAAAGAGAAGCTAAAACAAGTATAAAAATGTTAGAATTTAATAGTTGGATGGTATGCATTTAGGAATTTATGTTAATCCCTTTACTATTGTGCCTGTTGGAAATATTTCATTATTGATGTTAAATATTATTTTGCAAAGATAAAAAGGTGTATTAATAAACTTATAGGGATAGAAATACATAAATATGATAAATAATAAATCAATTATAGTAAAATGTTAATATTAGAAGGTTGGTTATGAATAGACTATTCAAAACCTAATTCATTTAACATTTCAGAATGTTTAAATATTTTATAATAAAATGTTTGAGTAAAATAATAACAGTGATCAGTTTTTGAAATGAAATGAGCAAATGATACAACAAAATGAATATTTATTTCTAACCCAGCAGTTGTTTGTGTTATCTATGAATCAATGATAGGATGAAATAAAACTTCTCAAATTGGAACAACAAATATGTGTGGTAAAATTTTGATATTAGCATGCAATAATTCATTTAAATGAAAAAGAAACAAGGAAAATACCCAAACATTGCCAATACACAGAAATAAAAATTAAAAATAATTAAATTAAAAGTTAGACAGGCATTAAAAACAGTATTTCAAAAAGTCTATTTTAAATACAATATAGAAGATGAGTATAAGAAATATACACAAACTTTATTTTCCTCAAGATTACTGACTAGAAGTTTTTCCAACATGTCTAATCCACTTAGAAGAACAAAAATAGTGGTTCTTCTCTGAAAATTATATAACAAGGAACAAAGCAGTTAAGCAGAAAGGTCAAAAGAAAATTCTGAATCTGAGAACAGGAAGGAGGGCATGAAGTGCTCTTGGCTGGAACCAGGTAAATACTGAGTATGGGTATGAATCTCCAATATGGGAGAGCATTACTGAGTGCCTCTCTGAAGTCCACTTTTCCACTGGGGAATGGTGAAATCCAGGTCACAGGAGAGCACCTAAATTCTCTGAATCCCTAGATCTAACTTGGGGAATGGCCGGGAGACTATAAGAAAGAACAGCTCTGGAAAGTGTTCCATGCACTTTCCCAGGGGTACCTAAAGAAAAATGACATTCTAGAGTTTAGCTCTTAGCAAGCTCTGTGGGGTTAAGGGAACTTACAGCAGTGACAATCTTTGTCATTAGAGAGACTCGCACTGAGGCATGGACAACTAGGCCTCAATTGGGGAGGAGCTCCCACAACCAGAACAGAGATATGAGTGTAGCGTGGACTCCAGCTGCTGGTACCAGAACTGAGCTTCTCTTCCAGGACCAGAGCAGGAGGAGAATTGCCTGGGAGGCATGGTATTGACCAAGTCAGTGACTTCTAAAACTAGGGGTTTTGTTGCAAACTAGAAGAAAATTGCAGTGACTAGCCAAATATCCAAACTGCTTGCCACATTTGGTACAGGAGAGTGATTGATGTCAGTTCTGAGGTGCGAGGAGGAAGCACGTTTCACTTTCACTGGCTAAAAATGTGGCACTGGGACCACCTCTCCCTCTCTGTGCTGAGACCTTGATGCAAAAACTGTTGCCCCTCACCCATGCATTTTTCCAGAGGCCTGACTACCATCTTGCCATCCCCAACAGGGCTGGTGCTTTAATCCACCATTGTAGATTCTGACTGTAAGGCTCCCATGGCTGGTTCTGCTTAATTTCAACTCCAACCCAAGGCAGAACATGAGACTCGTGCCCCTGAACATCCCATGGTCTAATCACCACCTGGGACACTTGAGCAATTTTCCCAGATGAAGAGGTTGGGCATAAACACTTCCGACACCACTTTAGTTGGCTCTAACCTGCAAGCACCAACTACTGGCATGGAGGTGAACTTGCACAGGCCATTACAATAACAGCTGACACAAGAGTACAACACTCAGGAATGAGAAAATGTTGTTATGGCCGCTGCTACCTGCATGATCCATGCCACCCCAGCTGTTCAGTTCAGGAAGTAATGAGAGCACTCACCCATTTAGTACACCTGGCATTTGAGAAAGATTACTGGCATTTGAGAAAAATCACATTAAGGGTATTTATAACCAAAGAAATCATACGATCTTTGCCACTGCACACAGCCAAACAGCCTTACACAACATACACCAGAGTCATATCAAGAATAGGCTCCCTCAGGAAAGTAAATTAAAAAAAGACTGATATTCCAGATATGCAGAGATCAATGTAAAGATACAAGAATCATGAAAAATCAAGGCATTATGACACTTTCAAAGGATCACAATAATTCTCTAGCAATAGATGCTAACAAAAAAATCCTCAAAATGCCAAATAAGTAAGTCAGAATATTGATCTTTAAAAATCTCAATGAAATGCAAAAAAAAGAAACCAATACAAAGAAATAAAAAATCAATTCAGAATATAAATAATCAACTTATCAAGAATATAAATACCTTTAAAAAAATCATGTCAAAATTTCAACAATATGCCAGAACAAGCAAAATAAAGAATCTCAGAGCTTGAAGACAGGTGTGTTGAAATAGCCCACTAAGACAAAAACTTTTAAAAAGAATAAAAGAGAATGAGAAAGGCCTTCAAGACTCATGAGACTAAGATCTACTCAATTTTCAAATTATAAGGAATAAAAATTTTAAATTATAGAAAACCTATTTAAAGAAATAATTGATGAAAGCTTTCAGATTATACAAAGAAATGTACACTTTCAGGGGGCCAACACTATCTTGGAAAATGTGTTATAAAAAGGAATTCACTACAACACACTCTCATCAGATTGTCTAAAAAATGTGAAAAAAAGAATTGTAAAATTATGAAGAGAAAAGTGTCTGAGAACCCATAAGGAAACCCTATCAGATTAAGTGAAGACATATTAGCAGAAAACTTAAAAGTCAGAACAAAATGAGACAGTATCATCAAATGTTAAAAAAAGCTGCAATCAAGAATTTTATATACAGCTAGATTAAGCTTCAAAGATGAAGGAGAAATAATTTCTAGAGAAGCAAATGCCGAGGAAATTCATCACCACTGCACTGACTTATAAGAAATGCCCAAAGGAATCCTAAACATGGAAATGAAAGGTCAATATCCACCATCATGGAAACAACCAGAAAAACAAACTTCACAGGTATTGTAAAACAATCACACAAATGATGAAGAGAAGTAAATCAAATGTTGATTCAATATAATATCACCAAACTCCAAAGACTAACAGAGAAAAATAATTTATAGAACAGCTGGATAATACTTTTACACATTTTTATTTTTTAACAAAATGACTGTTACTAAATGTAACATATCATTATTAACCCTAAATGTAAATGGATTAACTGGTCCACTTAAAAGACATAGTTTAAAAAAAATGGATTTAGAAAACCATGATCCAACCCTATGAAGCATATAAGAAACTCACTTTACCAGGCCGGGCGCGGTGGCTCAAGCCTGTAATCCCAGCACTTTGGGAGGCCGAGGCGGGTGGATCACGAGGTCAAGAGATCGAGACCATCC